ACATATGTACATATGTACATCTATATGTATGCAATGTTTGGTGCAGTTGCAAACATGCTGCGACCGAACTTGAAGCGCTTCGCAGTGCAGCCCCAGTCCCATGCGCAGTTCGCCAGGGTGGTCCTGGGGCGACAATGTGCAACGCCGCGCTAAGCGCTTGCCCTTGCAGCGGCTTCCTTTGGGCCAGGCAAGGTCCGGAAGAGCCTTTGGGGGCGGGGGTTGCCCTCATGATTCAACGTGGGGATCAAAGCGAATCAAGGCGAATCTGAATGTAAATGAACACTGGGAATGGAGTCTGGCATGGATTTGGACCTAATCGCCATTCATCTGCGGGATCCTCCCTTTGCCCTTCCGTGTGGTGTTTGGCTGTAGCTGTTGGCGTTCCGTTCGCATTCCAGAGGCCAGGGATAGATCGAAGGGCGTCAGGCCACGGCAATGGCTGAAGCATGAGGCTGCCTTTACTTGGCTCCCAGCCATCCCCTTAGCTTTTTAGCTGATAGTTTCCATGTAACCCACTAAAAGTTAAACTTTTAACGGGGGATCTGAGGGCAGCCCAGTTTAGAGTTGCGACCAGACGCCGAGCATATGTTCAGTGAGACCAAAGGTTTCCGCCGCTCCCTCCCAGGCCCTGAGCGCATTGCTGGACATGAGGGCGCCCATCGCGGAGGACCGGACATGGCCCTCGGTCAGCTTCGAAATCTCTGTGTTTTTCTGATTTCAATTCGATTCGAACAAATTATCGTTGCCATCTATTTTGCAAGACACCAAGGTTCCCTTCTTGGATGGCTTAAATGCTCTTCCCAGCCTCAACATTTCAGCACAGATCTTCTGAGTGAAACACATTGTTCTGAGCAAGGCGCAGCAACTCCAGTTGAGCAGTGCTCACGGAGCTGTTTAGCAACACCACGTTGCTTCAAAGAATAAGTCTTTGACATGCGGTGTACACTGGCTCAGGCCAGCTTAGAAAGAGAACATCGATGCTTTGTACAGTTTGGAACAGAAAGAATAATGTTTAGTATTTCTGGAAATCAACAAAGCTAGATGCGCCGTCCGATAGCCCCTGCGCAAGCGGGCCCAAAGTAGTTGCATTGCCCACACGCGGTTGGGCTATTCTCTGAGAAGCCCTGCGCCTGCGGAGGACGAATTCCATTCAGCTTCGTTCCAAACGAAGCAGCAACTGAACAGCATGCGGGGTTTGGGTAGATGGCTTCTGGCGTCCCATTTCCAGGTAGCAGCGTTGCACTGACCTTGAACAATGCGATCTCCCAAAGCTGCCTTGTCCAAAAGTGCAATTTTGTACGGCCACATCCTGCTGTTTTGCACACCCACACCCGCAATAATATTATTATTATTGTTATTATTATTATTATTATTATGATGATGATGAGGATGAGGATGAGGATGATGATGATGATGATGATGATGATGATGATGATGATGATGATGATGATGATGATGATGATGATGATGATGATGATGATGATAACAACTAATAATGGTAACACTAATAATGATGATAGTAATATTAGCAACAATGATTATAGTAATGATAATAACAACAATAATACTAAACATACGATTGGACATCCTACTAATAGTACTAATAGCAATAGTAATAACTGGTAATAAGGGTAATAACAACAATAATGATAATCATAATCACTTATATACAGATATACACATATATATATATATATACCTGTACATACTGCACGTATATCTGACACATGTCTATGTACATGAATATATGATGCCGTATATGCATACGTGTAAGTATTTCTCAAGTGCGTGTGCCAGGAGCGTCTTTGGCCTGGGGAGGATTGCTTTGCGCGGGCCCCTTTCAGCTGAAGTCGCGTTTTCGACTTCGCACGGATGCACCATCAAGCATACCCTCTTGCTCAATCAACTGCCGTGCGTGTTAGCCAGGCAGGAGCTTTGTCGGGGCGGTCAGGAGTGGATCACTAGCCAGACGCCTTTCCTTCCTGACCCCAGCTTCTCCATGTATGAAAGTTCCGATGAGTGGCCCTTTGTCGTATGAATAAACACAGTCGTCCAAGCTTGGACACCGCAGCCGATCGCATGTACTGTTTCAGCGCAAAGTTTCTGGGGAGCGACGCTCAAATTTGCTCTCAGGTCTCTCTTGAAGTATCTCCATTGCCATGATTAACTCGGATTTTTGGGAAGCTCCATTTGTGCTAATTAGATCGGCTCTTCTGATCCTTCCTGAAAACTCCGTCTTTGGAAGCCCCGCCCTTTCACACATCCCCCGATCCAGCAAGCTGTTTTACAACGCCGTGGCACTCCGGTTTTCGGAGCGATCTGCAAGCAGTCTCAGAGGATGGGTTTGCGGGAGGTCTCCCCGAGCATCTCGATGCCAAGCAAGTTCAAGCGCTGTTTTTGTGTCCGGAAGATGTGGCAACCTCCATTGGATTTGCCCTCTTAGCCCAAGGACCCCCGTTTTTGTTTTTTTCCAGCTCGAAGGTAGTTTCAGGAGGCCCCCATCTCTAGACTTCGGTGAAGGTGGTGTTTCGATGGTGGTTTGATGGTGTCCCGGTCGTGTTTGGTCGTGTCTTGGTGTCAAAGTGGCTTCTCATCCGTGTTCCAGTGGGGTCCCGGGGTGTCCCGTTGTGTCTCGGTGGTGTCGATATCCCAGCCTTCCGGTGGTGTCCAGTGTGTTCCGCTCGGAGGCGGTTTGTCCCGGTCAGTCAGTGCCCTGTCCCGCGGTGTTGTGCCAGTGGCTCTTTGTGTCTGAAAAATACTACCAGCGAATAACTCCTGTAGACCCTATCGGGGTTTGCAAAGGGTGAACCTCACTCAGAGAGATCGACTTTTTTTCCCGCTTTCAGGGTGAATTACTCGCTCAAAGAGATTTGTTTATGCATTTGAGTTCCAATGTTCATCCAAAGTTCGTCCATGTTTGGTGCATTTCTGCTTCAAAGGCCAACACTTTTCATCCACTTCGGCTCCGAAAGCCACCTGACCCGCGAAGCGCTTTTGGGCACTCCGAGGTGCCCCGCATGGCACAAGGCGCGGGTTAGATGGGGGTTGGGATCCGAACGTGGGCCTTGGGTGTCAGATGCGTCTCCATTTGTGTATATACATATATATATATATATATATGTATGTATATGTATATATGTATATACACATGTTTTTTCTAAAGTTTGGGCCCCCCCCCAAAACAGGAAATGAACACCAAGAAGCATGTGTTTTCCGTGACAACCGCCAAAAGATGGGGGAGCCTTGAAAGAGGTAAACAGCGACAAGCCAAGCGAGGCTTGGGATTTGCCCAAGCTCCGGAAGGCCGGCCGACGGCCGACCCCTTCCGGCAGAACTTCCTTGGGGCCGCGGAGTATGCTGAGCTGGCGATGCTGGCCTTTGTGCCTGGGTGCCCAAGGGACCCCCTTGGGTCCAAGGGACGATGGCATGACTCAGAGAGACTCAGCTTTTCCCAAGCGAGTTGCGGGGCATCCATGTGGATCACTTGCCCGACAGGTTAAGCTGGACAGTAGCCATAGTTCGGATTCACGGCAAGAGTGGGAGAGATTGCCTGAAAGTGGACTTGATGTGGTTTAAGAGCTGTGCATACTTGATGGGTCGCCCTGAAATAGTGAAACGTGGACAGTAGCTGTTGTACACAGAATATATTGCCCTTGTCCGAGTCCTTTTTTGCCGAGTGTATTAGCTGACATGCCAATGTTCCAATTTGCCCAATGTTCATTCAGCCTCCGGTCCAAAAAGACTGCGACTCATTCTTGAACAGCGGCTCAAGGATATGCCGTGTTGCGAGCTCGTGACCTTGAGGCCCTTTTGCTCACGTGGCGTGCCCACAATACTGATGGCTGTTGCTTAGCACATTCATTGGCGACAGGTGCAACGGCGCTTGCGCACTATGCAAGCTGCCTTATTTGCCACACGCTAAACAGAGCAATACTTACTTGTACAGAGTGTCTTCTCGTGTGACTGTGAGTGAGATTCTATATCATTATATCCGGAAGCACCACCTGGGCTGCATTGCATGATTTGCGTGGAATCTGCCGAGCAAACGTTTTGAGCATTCTTCATGCTTTGCTTGGCATGCTTTCCCCTCACTCTGCTCCTTCAAAAGCTTCAGGGCCAACAGTAAGCTCTGAGTCAGCCACACTCCCTCACTTGCCATGCAACATTCCCGCTGCGGTTTGTTCTTCTTGGACGCCCAAAACATGTCTAGATTGGGATGACTTGGATCCGAGGCCTGGTTTTGGTTCCCTGTCCCAAGAACATCAGTGGACTTTGTGCTTTGAAGAAGTGGACAATCTTGCCGTTCTGAAAGTAATACGCCCTGCTTTCGGTGACTTTGACCCGCGCCTTTGTCACAGGCGCCAGCTGGCAAAACTTCTGCGCTGTTGTGAGGAGGTCCCAGTGCCACAGAAGTGGGCCCGAACCTTATGTGGCTCCTGGGCACTTCCCAATTTATCTAGGAACGCTTTGGATGCGGCGGTTGTAGATCTACCCCTGTAGGATATTAAAAGAGTACTAGAAGATTGCCAAAAAAAAGGACCAACCATAAGAAGAATAGGGGTAATCCACAAAAGGCATCCAAACTGTGTTCTGCTCTCGCGCAGAGGCTGTTGGAGATCGCAAGCTCTCGCAAGCTTTGACCGAGCCTTTGTTCAGAAAGCAGTTCAAGCTTTATGCGCAAAGTGACGCATTTCATTCGCCTATGGCAGTATGGCTCAGCATTGCTCGAGTTGTGTTGAACATCACTGGCATGCAACATACCTAGTGTGCAGGCCCTGTATACATATATCACAAGCACGCACACATACACACGCAACACATACACACACAACACAGACACACACACACACACCCTCGCACACCCGCGCGCAAACACACAGACACACGAACAGACACACACACACACACCACAAACACAAACTCGCCAAGTAACCACAAACACACACACAAGCTTGAACTAAATTACAACCACAGGCACAACCGCAATTGCATATGTAATATATATTTATGCATATATGATATCATTTGATGTACACATACGTATGAATTTGCATGCATACATACATACCGTGCGTAAGTACTACGCGCACATTCATACACGTACATACATGCATAAGTACATACATACATACATACATACATACATACATACATACATACATACATACATACATACATACATACATACATACATACATACATACATACATACATACATACATACATACATACATACATACATACATACATACATACATACATACATACATACATACATACATACATACATACATACATACATACATACATACATACATACATACATACATACATACATACATACATACATACATACATACATACATACATACATACATACATACATACATACATACATACTTGCATACATTTCTACCTGCATACAGACAGGCTGACATGCATGCAGGCGAACACACACATACACACATACGCACTTTTGCACATGCACAAACATACACATGCACACATACGTAGATACATGCATACATATGTGCATGCATATAGACACATGCACAGATTTGTATTCTATATATATATATACATACATATATATATATATACACACACGTACAGTACACATACACACATATGCATACACATACACACAGACACCCACACACACACACATACGCACACACACACACATTTACATACATACATACATACATACATACAGACAGACAGACAGACAGACAGACAGACAGACAGACAGACAGACAGACAGACAGACAGACAGACAGACAGACAGACAGACAGAGACAGACAGACAGACAGACATACATACATTTCACACATTACATACATTACATACATTACATGACATGACACATTACAGTACATTACATTACATTGCATTGCATGGCATGGCATGGCGTTGCATTGCATTACATACATACATACATACATACATGCATGCATACATTACATATATTGCATACATGCATACATTAAATATATTGCATACATTACATACATTACATACATTACATACAGTACATACATTACATACATTACATACATTACATACATTACATACATTACATACAGTACATACATTACATACATCAAGCACGATCACATGCACAAAACACACGCAAGAGCGGATGCGCACGTTCACGCACATGTGCACGTGCAGGCGCACCCACCCGCGCACAAGCCCGAAGACTGCCCACACCCACCTACCCACCTACCACACTCATGCACAAACATGCACATAAGCGCGCACGCAAGCACGCACTCACACAAGAATGGCCCTGGCAAAGGAAGAACGCTTCTTTTAAGACTCTGCTTGATTTATGCGAGCGGAGCCTGATGGCTTTGGAAGGTCAAGCTCCATGGCTTGTCTCCAAGGCTTGTTTCTTGTCGGGGAGCAACCTCTGCAGATGCAGAGTCCAGAGTTTGATGATCACTGATTACCCACCCCTTCCCCACCCCCACCAAGGTTTCCAAGGTCCGCAATTCCTTTGGTCCCTCCCGTTCTCTCCCTGTCTTGGCCAATGGGACTGCAGTAGGAAAGCATCAGGTTTTCATGGAGAGGGCCACGATGAATCAGGGGGAGTTTTGGGGTTTAGCGCAGGGGAGTGGCCTTGAACGGGGGGTAGCCTTTTTCAAACCTTGACAATTAAGCAAACGACAGTAAGATATTCGCTGTTTCTGGATAGCTGATTCCTTGAGATTTGGTATGGCAACCCTTGTAACCATGAAAGAAAGTAGTATTGGTAGATGTCGTGGCAATAGCTTTTACAGTTTAGAATCGTACTTTTCATCTTTTGGATTTTCTAAGGGGGGAAGGTTAGCACTAATCGGGGCACGGGGTTCTAGGAGGGAACGATCAGACAAGGGGTGACTATTTTGTGCAGCCTTGTTTGAAATAGAACATAGTGTTGGCGAGCGCTGGGGGAGGGGGAGGGGAGGTTGGCATTACTCAGGGAAGTTATTAATCAGGTCCGAACATTTAAGGGAAGCTGTTCAGTTACGGCCGTACCCAGCACTGCTTAGATGCCAAATTGCTGCATCAAAATCTGGCACTCCAGATGGGAAAGCTTGTCTCCATTCTTTAGTTGCTTTTATTAGTTTCTGGCCCTGCGGCCTTTACCTCTTTGAAGTTATACCATGTCATGTCATGTTTTTTTGTGTGAGAAACGTATCCTGTGCTATGATATGGCTGGTTAGGTTATGCATGTTGCCCAGATGATGCCAGGGATGCCAGCTTTCTGGGCCCCAGCCAGGCCCCAACCCAGAAGGCTGACATGGGGTCGCGCGCGCGCCCCAGAAAAGGCAGGCCAAAAAGAACAGTCCGGCCCGGAAACGCAAATGCAACAAATCACCGTAAATAGCAGCGTTTTGAAAACCCGCAAGCCAACAGGAAAAAAACAAAAACCGCGCAGCGCGCGAGCCAGCCAGAGCAAAAGCAAAACGGACAGAGCAACAGCCCAACGCTCAGCACAGCAGTTCTTGACGGTATTCACAGCGTTTTTGGTAGAGCGAGGACCCAGCATCGCCGGCATGCCCGGCAGCGCTTGGTGCCAAAATGCGCGGTTCAACGTGACATTGATTTGCATACCCGGAGTCTCCACGACCGCAAGACAAGGAGGTTACCGAAAGAAAAGGATGGCCTGATTCGGGAAGGGCTGTGGAAACTGGTGCCTGGAAAGCGTTTGAAAGGGGTCAGCAAGCCCATGTGTAGCGGGGAACACTGGTATTGGAGGAATGAACTCATGTCCTAGGTGGTAGAAAAACCGTTGGGCGTGAGAGGAGATGCGTGCTGGAATTGACCACTGCTCATTGGATCAGAAAGAAGATTGGGGTTGGGTCAAAAGCATAAAGAGGGCGCCAGACGCCCCAAGCTGGGGAAACGTGGACGCGCCCCTTGGTTTGGTGGATCTTGAAAGGGTTCTGCGCCCCTATCACTCAGGTTTTGGTGCGAGGCAGTGTTTCATGGAGCCGCCAGGGCTTGAGTGATCGAAGCTGAGTTGGCTTTGATGCCGGCCTTTCGTGTCTCGTCGAAGGCTGCCGCAGCCCCAAAGGCAAGCTCGGCAGTTGCCTTGCCTGCAGTGGTTCTTCTGAGAGAACTGGATCGCGTGGACACGGTGCCCGCATCGCCGGTCTTGGTCAGGGGCCATTCACATGGTCTTCAGCAGCCAGACCCGGTACCCGCAGCTGAAGTGGATCGTTGCTGGCGAGCGCGCAGGGGAGGAGCCGGACGTCCAGTTCACGGTGAGTTTTTCCGCTCTGCCTAGCAACGTTCGGGAGTGCGTGGTGGACAAGGTGGTGCTCTTGAGCAACGTGGAGTGCGGCTTGGAAGCGGCCGGACGGGTCGGTGCCGGAGAGCAACTTGTTCCCATGCTTGTCCCGTTGGGAGATCTCGGTGGATTTGTTTGCTGCGGGCAAGAGGAAGCGCGGCGATGTCGAGATCCTTGGCAACACTAGCAGGGTTGTATTGCTTGGTCTTCGAAACAGCCTCAGTTGGCTGTTTCGTTTCATGCGCAGACTGGCACGCAGTCAGCGTTTGGATTGCGGTGGGGTGGGGGGCAGGCCAGTGCGGGTTGCCGTCACCGTGTTGTAATGCCGGGGCAGCCAAGGTCGAAGGTGACAGTTTTGCCAGATGCTGGCTTGGGGAGCTTCCCGGTGGCGGTGTTTGACGCGCTTCCAGGCTTGGGCAACATGCCCATTGAGGCAGAGGGGTCGGCGCAGGTGAAAGCGATGGAGGTCGGGGAGATCGTCGGCGGGGAGCGTCCGCGGCGCGTGCTGAACGTGATGGACACGAACGGAACGGAGGGGCAGCAGCGAGCCTTGATTACTTTGAGCGAGGGGGGAAGACTCGGGGGGGCAGGAACGATCTCGGCGGGTGGAGTCGGACAGAGGCTCCGGCAGCTGCCTATGCAAAGGTAGGGGGTGGCGGTGGAGTGTTGCAGGTGCAGCTTCATAAAATGAGATGTGGCTTGTTTCGGCCGTGGCGATCGGTCCCAAATAGGATGGCTAGGTAGCGCACGACGTTGCTTCGGGGGGGTTTCGGAGCGGATTTTGGTTTGCAGACAGCGGCTGCTTGCGCGGTGTTGCACTCCGAGGATTCAATGTGACGGTGCATGACGGGCGCACGCAGCACGAGTTTGCGGCTGGCGGGACCATCGCGATCATCGGCATGACTGTGAAGGAGGGCGGCTGCTACGCCTACGCGAGCCACGGCGGTGTCATGGTGTGCGCGGAGGAGGAAGAGTGAGCGAGTAGAGGCACCGCGTGGCGCGGCGAGGGGAGCCTGCGTAGGCGTGGAGTTAGCAGGCAATCGTCAGATCTTGTGGCGTAGTTGAAGAGTTGCTGCAACTTTCGGCGGGGAGAGAATTGTCGGTGTTTAAGCGCGCGGAACGGCAGTGTCTGAACCCACTAAGTAGAGTAGCTCTGGCTATAGCGGCGCAGCTATAGCCTGGCAGTTCCAGCCCTGCAGCAAGCCCAGGACCAGCCAAGGCGCAGCCGGGGCACAGAGAGCCCGACAGCTAGCAGCCCGGCAGCCACAGCCCTTGCAGCAAGCCGGCGAGGGTGTAGCCCGGCAGTGTGGGAACCCACTAAGTAGAGGACCAGCCAAGGCGCAGCCGAAACGCATGCGGCCAAGCCCCGCAACAGCCTTGCGCAGTGGCACGGCAGGAGTGAGCAGAAAGAAAGCTAGCGCTGCTATCGCCATTCATGAGACCTTCGGTATCTCAGGCGCCGCCCCGTCTATTTTTTATATTCATACAATATCCAATCCCAGTAGTTTTTAACCCTTCAGTATCTAGATACGTTTGTTTTTTCATCTTCACTATCAGTTAGCCCTGGTCGTAAATTTGTCTCATAATTTTCTGCCCGAATTCAGTACTCGCATCAGTTCTTTGAGGCAGAGAGCGTGCAACAGGACTGTGGGGCCTGCCGGGTGGATCTATCATGCGTTGCTTTCGTAGCATAGCTATATGTTTAATTCGGCGATTCCGGAAAGAGTTCAACGTAAATGGTCCCCCTCCCCCTTCCCCCTTGTGACCCCCCACCCCCCCCCCACCCCTTATGGCTCCCATATCCGCCAACCGTCCTTTACTGAGAGCCGAGGTCCAGAGCTCACTCGCCCTGCTGGTGGAGGCATGCCTTAGAACGGCGCCTGGGGCGATTTGGGTATGGGTCAAAATCTAACAACCAGGAATCGGCCCGCAGGTTTTAGTCTTGGGATTCCATTTGCCAGGGTTCCATTTTGGGTATTCATTTTTGACCCACAGCCATTTGGGCTGGGGGAGAAAGTGTGGCTTCGGGGAAAACACCGCGTCTCAATCTATCGCTCAAGACAATGGGCCTTCGATGTCACTTAGGCATCAGTGTAAGTCAGTGTTGCGCTGTGTAGTGACTGCAACATGTTTTCCCCTGCTAGTCAAACTCTTGATGGTAATTGTGGGCTTTGGGGGGCCATTTGCCCGCTTGACCACCGCAAAATCATTGTCCAGGACTTTCAAACAGTTGTAGTAATAGGTGCTCACATGCTCACCAAATAACGCGGAATTACACAGGTATGCCAGGCATTGCCAGAAAACGATTCCTGAACCAATCAGGATCCATATAATACGATGTACATGTGTGCTTTTGGACATGTGTGCTTTTGGATGTCCAGGTTTACATCTCTTTTACGCAAAACTCCCTCTGTGGGTTGGGTTCTCGTTTAGTTGTCCAACCGCCAGGGAGAGAGCATCAGTACGGACGGCTTCAACCATGCCGAGTCTGCAGTAATTTTTCTGTGTGAACATTGCTGGAAGAGAAATAGCCAAGAACTGCCGCGAAGAACGTGACTGCAGGTCTGGTGTACCAGTGAATTTGGTCCAACATGACCGATGGGAGCCTGGGATTTGGCACGACGGGCGTGTGTTGGTTGGTCCGTTTGGTTCGAAGGGCTTCTGCACCTTTCCGGGCGCAGAAGTGCTATTTGATGCTTCATTCTTTGCATATGCCGAGGTGCGTTTTTGGGGTTCCTATGGTTCCTTGACCTTTGTTCTCAGTTTATCGCATGGTTTGGTCGCCCGGCGTTTTTCCCTCGCGGACTGTGGAAGAGATTCGGACGAATTCGCCGAGTCCTTGGAGGCCGGCGCGGCGCCTCCTCGGAAGGGCCCCATTCATCCGGAGACCTGGGTAGCCTCTCGAGTGAAGCAGGGGAGCCTAAGGAACTTTGGCAAATTCGCCTTGGGCAATGGCGAATGGCTCTAGAAAACGAATTGGATGTGGCTTTTTCGGATCCTCTCCTGTAGGATATTAAAAGAGCACTAAACGATTCTTAGACAGGGGGGACAACCGGGTGAAATCCACGAAAAGCCCAAACTGTTTTTTAGAAATGGCGAATCTGGACTCGCCAATTGCTGGTTCTTGGGATCGGGGTGCTTGCCCTCAGACTGGCACAGGTTTTGCCGATTTCCCTTGGGTTTTCTTCCCACGGGTCCCAACCATGCGATTTTGCGAACCGGTCCTTGACCGGGTGATTTGTTTTCAGTCACCCGATCGTGCCCTGGTTGTCAAGATACCTTTCAGTGGGTAAATGATTGACCAGATGCTTGGTGTCAGGGGGATCGTTGAAGCTTGAGATGTGCTGTCAACAAAACCCGTCGCTTGTGCGCGTGTGCGCACGTATTCGAACGCACTGGAGTGTCGTGCACCCAGCATCCCCAGCAGCGCTAGCATCCCCCAACATCCCCAGCAGCGCTAGCATCCTCCAGCATCTCCAGCACATGCGCTCGACTCTTCCAAACCACGGCCGCTAGGCGTGTAAGTGACCGGATAGCATCCAGGCATCACATGGCCTCAAAGCTCGATGGAGCGCCTGTGCAACAATTGCATGATTGAGTTGAGGGCTTTGGATATGCCATTGCTATTTGCGCAAATAAGTCCCAATTCATTGTTTGTCGGCATGCATGTCCTTGAAACAAGCTTGGGAGAATAGCCGCCCAGACAGTTGTGTGGTTTGATAGCAACGCATTGACATTCGTATGTGCAAATGCCAGCCTTTTTGCCATGAGCGCCAGGCTCTTGGGCCACTTTCTTAGGCCATAGAGGTTGATAGATCACGGAGGTGAAGTGCAAGTCCCTGAGTCATGCTTCCAGTTTCAGAACCTTGGGGCTTGCATTGGCAAGACTTCTGCTTGCGTTGTCTCTCTGATTTCAGGCCAGGGGCCAATTTATCTGCAACCGTTTCAGGGATCCGGGGGTGCCACGGTGCTAGTTTGCCGCTAGCAAGTCATCCGAAATCGCCCTCATGGCTCTGAGGATTCAAATCCTTGGATGGAGCAAGAGCCGGCTGAGCCTTCCTGGCGCAACAGAGGAGGAATGCCAGGCAAGGTGGGTACAGCTGCTTTACCCCCATCCCCGGACAGTAAAAACAAGTGAATCGTAGAGGAGAACATGCTGACAAATCGCTAACTGGAGTTCTTGAAAGATGTCCTTGTATATAACTTATATCAGAAGACTCAGCAGGTCTCGCATTGTCAATTCTATCATCTTCGAAGTTTTTCAGGGCAGGCGTCTCATGTGTCCAAGGGACCGTTTTGCGAGAGTCGTCTAGGCTCCCGAAAGCTCCATAGGGCACCCTGAGCCCCCCCAAACTTCCCGCAGCTCCCCAAGCCTTTTGGGACATACGTCACGTTTCTCGGCTCAGTGCACTTCCTTCCCCTTGGACCTTGATGCTTGTGAGACTGATGGCGCGAACGGCTGGCCGAAAAATGGCACTCGTTCTTCCCCGGGCCCTGACCCTGAGGTTTCCAACCTAACAAAAGGCGCGGGCTTTTGCTTTGTGGCGCCTGGACTTTGCTAAGCGTTCAACATGTCCAGCTTATTTTTTTCCACGAGGGGATGGCAAGCACCGTCGAACAGAGCTGCATGTTCTACTGAGACGAGTGCGCGGGTTGGGTTGGGGCCTTTGGACTGTCAGGATCATGAGCTACCTTGGAAAATCTACCAGCATCACATTGGCCGGAGCCTTGCTGACCAATGCGGACTTGCGACACGAGTCCACCTGAAAGGTTGGCAGAAGCCTTGAAGCCCACATTCTCATAGGATTTTGCTCCTAGCTGCTAGCTGCCAGCGGAGCTTCATTTGTATCAGTGAAGGTTCCCTTCCCCCCTAAGCAGCAACATGGCTGAGTTGGACTGCTTGGGTTTCTTGCTCGGCTCAGGAATGCGAATTTCAGATTGGCTCGACTCAAAGAATGCCCAACGGAGCCTGGTTTGGTACTGTTGAGGTGCTTGATTCCTTGTAAGTGTTCCCTATGTATGGGATCGACATCAACAGGAGTTGATCTGATTATGACAAAAGGTTTTGGTGTGCTTGTGCACAGTCTTCTCCCGGCTGTTCCTTTGTTCCCGGATTGCACGTTTATGCATGTTTTCATGTAGCGATCTATCTTCAGTTTGGCAGCCCAATATGTCAAGAAGATGGCGTGGCGCCTGCCTGTAATGGTGCGATTGTTTGACAGGAGTCGGCAATCCCTTCCACGGTCAGTAGTAAAATCAGGGCCCCAATTCTAGCGATGAGCTTTGAAGGAGGCCCCCGCACAAAGAAATGGGTGTGGCTCAAAATTAAACGGGAGGGGTTACGCAGGTTTTGGTCCATGTTTCCACTTACCAGGGTTCCAGTTTGGTACCGAAATTTTTGAGCCGCCAAATAACTTCATCCAAAAGGGGGGGGTGCCCCATGTTGAGACATCCCTCGCCCCCTCAGGCCGTGTGCTTTGGGAATCCTCGCGGCTCTACTTTCACACCTTCTGTGCCGAGGACCCGTCTCCCGGTGTCGCGTCCCAGAGCTCACTTTGTGCATGGCCTTTCCAGGGGCGGCATATTCTTTGCAACTCACTGTGTGATTCGGCCCAAGAACATATGCTGAGCCTTCGTGGATCTTTTGACTAAACTGAGCCTGTCGGCCTGTTTCCATACTTGACTTGGCCACTCTTTCCCACGACGCGTCACAAACACTGTCAGGGATGCATTCACCGATGCGTGGGGAGGATCGATATGGGTCATGTTTTGACCTGGACATGTGCCATCCTTGAGCTTGAAATTTTCCGAGCCTGTTAGCACCTTGGAAATGTTGAGTTGCTTTGAGTTGTGATAGTTGCGTTTGTGTTGTGTTGACAGGGTTACTATAATTAGAAGGAAATTAGCTATTTTAACAGACTGGTAACCAACAGAAGCTGTGATGAATTTGAGGGGGCGGTAGTCAGCCGTTGGGTGATTCTTTCGGTAAGAAAGCACCCTCCTTGCGTGCCACATCCTCGCTTGTTACAACCCACGCGTTTCAGAGCCCTGAGAGGAGTGGACCGAGCTGGCGCTTCAGCTGTATCAGGTTTGCCATAAAGGCGCGCACGCGCGAGCCAAAAGCTGTGGGACGGAGAGACGAATGGAACATGACACATGACACATGTACGTACTAGTTTCTTAGCCTTTGCAGCAACTCTGTGTGACAAAATGGACGGCGATAGACCCACACTCGGGTATGACGAGAAGGTGCTGATTGTATTGCGAAGGATTGGAATGCAAGCTCACATTTCCCATGAAGAGCCATTTGACACTTGCCTGATTGGATTTAAGGCGTGTTGGCCCTGGCTACTTGCCCGCTCGCAAGCCTGTTTGGCATTTAAACATACGACGCCTTTGCAATTGGTCAACAGCGCTGTATATGCACATGAGCAGGCTTGGCCCAGTGTTTTGCTGGCTGAGTATGTAGTTGATTCTCCGCACAATACACATGGTGCAAGCTGCACTCCCACGCTTCAATCGAGTGGTGCTCGCAAACCAGAGTGAGGCCAAAACACTGGCTTCACGAGGTGGGCATCAGACAAAGATAGTTTGGCACTGCCAGGAAGGTGCGTTTGCAATGTTTAGGGCCACGTGCCATGCAAAATGGTAAAGTCCCCCTCCAGACTTCAGAACACCAGCAATGCTACCCAGTTTTTTTGGGCGGGCGCCCCTGCAAAAGTCGTCTGATTTTTCACTAAACCCAGCTTACCCCACTAAAAAAGACTGGGGTTGATGATTTTAATATAGACGGCCGGTTTTAGTCCTTGTTTTCATTTACCAGGGTTGATTTGGGTACCTATTTTTGACCCACACCCTTATGGGGCAACACTAAACCGAAGAGACGATCGAAGGCACCAGCAGCTTGGTGGGCAGCTGTGAGCTGAAGCTCCCCGGCGCCAAGGTGGCCTGGATCTCAGGGTTTGATTCATCCAATGCACTACCAGCACCCCTCCGGTTTTTTCAACCATGTCCAAAATCCCAAGTGTCCAAAAAGCATGCAGAAAGCAGTGGTTGGGATCTGAAAGGTGCAACTGCTCGACGGGTTCTGGTTGAAGTGTTCAGACTGGCGCGCCTTTGGTAGTGTGTTCGCATGCTCTCGAAATCGTGGCAGCTTAAAGGTCTTGGGGGGTTCAGCCTGCTGAGGTGTCTGAGAGCTACTTGATGCAGCTGTACCGAGGCGCGTGCGGGCGGGAAATATGCGCGTGCCCGTCCAATCCAAGAGCATAGCTATCATAACGGCACCCGGAGCCTGCAAAAAGCCGACAACGTCAATGACTAAACACAAGGCTGGAGATCCTCTGGACACATCCAAAAACATTGGCTTTTCAAGTTTTGTGGCACATCTCCCCAAAGGGCAGGATTTGCAGATGTAGAGACTCGTTTGGCTGTAGGCCACCCCAGAGCCAAGCATGGTTGCAAATTCTGCCAGCACAAGCTGAATCAGCCGGAGCTGAGACATGCAGACTCTCCGGGCCAACCTCGATGATGTCGGAGATGCAAAACCTGCCTTGCTGACAACTTGCTGAGGAAGCACTTGTGTTGAAACCTCGAAGAAATGTAGGTTTTTGCAGCAGACGCAATGACATACCGGGAAAGTGTAGGCTTTTGCCGGCCATATGTTTTGGGCCAAACAAGCAGGCCCTGAAATCCTTCGGCTTTGACAAGGATCAGCTTTGAGGCTTTTTTTCCCAGCCAGGCGACCGGCCGCTCTTCGACAATCTGGCGCAACCAACGCAGGCGCGATGAATTCTCATGGCAGACCAATGCCGAGGCCAACTTGCAGTTGAATGATCAAACATCATCAAGAACAATCTCCCTTTTGCACCGAAGGATCTTTATTGAAATCGCTACGCGATCCGCCGACGCCAGTGGACAGTCCCTTATTAATAAACTGGGATGTCCCAGATGCTGAGGATGCTGGATGCATACAAAAACACACCCAATCCTTTGCATCCAAAATTTTAAGACTGACACACAAAATTGGCCAAACACAGAAAATACCAGAGATGTCGGGAATGCTGGGAATGCAGCCGGCTAGCCCCAAAAAGTGCAAAAACACCAGGGTTTTTAATATTCCCAAATTCAACCATCAAAAACATATTCTAGCAACCCCGTTAAAAATTGACTTCCAAACGCACGATAATGCAGGGGATGTCTCGCAGTAACTGCTCCGTACAGGTGGGGAATTGCAAAAAACACTCATGTTTGCAAATTTCAACAGTTCCTCAAAGTATCACTGCACTTGGCCCCACCCAAACCCCTAACAGGCCAATTTCAAGATCGCTTGAAACAGCAAAACACCACTAGTATCTGCGAAAAAAAGAGACAAATTCATGGCAACTGGATAATCCTGATGATGCTGGGGATGCAGATCCTGCGTGTTTGGGGGAACCCCCCCCCTAGAGACCTAGGCGAAACGCATATTTTTAGCACGCAAGACCCAAAAACACTGGAAAAATACAGGGTTTTGGACACCCAGCACAGCATGCCCAAAAAGTAGAGTCCCGAAAGCCTTCGGCTTTGATAAGAAATTCCGAAGGAAGACCAAGTTGCGGACTGCCATCTACACGCTCGACTGGTGTCGGCGGATTTGCCGTTTTTCGCCCTCTGGCAGCCAGGTCTCCGCTCATTGCCCTTGCAACGGCAGAAGCTGAGGTGATTCCAAATGCTTTGTAAGAACCTGGCAACATTCCCCCCTGGGAGATTGGGACTAAAATATGCAGCAGTCGTTCAAGAAATGCGTCCTTCGAAGGACCGGGATTTGCATTTTTTTTAAATGTATCTATCACCTTTTAAACCTCAAGATGTGTTTTTTAGTTTCGCTGAAAGCAGCAGGAGATGATATGGTCGCCATTCCCTCCCCCTTTGTGAAGAAATAAGACTGCGAGTGACCCTTTAAACTAGCCCTCCAAATATGTTCATCACAGTCAGCCAAACAAGGCAGCCTTGTATGCCCCTTTCAACATGGATGTTGTGAGCCCGGAAGATCAAGGCCCCATGGACAATGGCCCTGACATCAAGTTTTGCCGTTTTGGTGCGAGCGACAGTGAGCGACAGTACAGTAGACTTGTTGAAAGTCATGACAAGTCCAAGCCCATCCAAGCTGGGAGATGATTGGATGATGCGAGGTGTCGCTTACTGCCAAGTTCGTGCCCTGCCCCATGCCCTCCAACTTCGCAGGCATTTGGCCAGGCGCTCAGTGGCGGTTGCCTGAAGTTAAAGGCAAGTCCGTCCGCGGAAAGTCAACATGAAAGGACCATCTCACCATCTCAAAATTCGAATTCCGTGCGATGCAAAGATGAAGGTCTGACTCGCGATTTTTGTGCGGATCCGCTGGCCTCCGGCCTGCTCCGAGGCAAGTGCGCCTGGAGAGTTTGGAGAACTTGGAGGCGCCGGGTGAGTTGCAAGCGGCTTGGAGCACTTTTTTTTGGGGGGATGCCTCTTCACTGCTCTCGTGACTAGGATACTACAATACATGCAGTAAACCCTTACCCCACGTTCAAGACTTGGAGCGCCAACCATGAGTTGCTCACTGTGTCCTGGCGATTTGATGTCAGGGCCAACAAACTGCCTGTCATGCGAGCTGTGGAAGGCAACCAGATGCCTCTGGCGTTTGCACAAAGACCGCGTCTTCAGGCTGCCTCTTCGTGTACGGAGTCTCTTTGCATGGTGCTTACGGCATCAGGCGCGCGGAAGTTCCGAACCTTGAACCGCGCTTTCTTGGAAGAGGGGGGGAACGACCAGCGTTACCAGCAGGATTCACAGACAGCTCGGATAGCTATTGGGGAAAGCATAGGTCCATGGCGCCACAATAGCTGTTTTTTCGTGAGCCATGTGACATGGGGATTCCATCAGAGCTGGAAAGGGTGCTGTGTAGGCTACTAATATGTTCTGTTCGATGTTCACGGCGTCTTGCATGTTCATCCCGTGGAGAAGCAATGCGTATTTGGACACAATGGCAACAAGGGTGAGTGTCTCTCTTTTGACCGGGATACAGCCCAGCAAGTATACACAAGCCAGGGTCCTCGAATGATGCAACAGAAAGATCAATCTTGATAAGAATGTGATTTTCTCGGAGTTGCGGAATCCAATTCGTGAATCGAGAGAGGAGGAATTGCCGCGCGCTGAAGCGAACCGCTCATCCTCATTGACATGGTCCTAATAGTTCTCTCTTGATTGCAGATGAAGTGAACATGAAGCGAGAGAGAGAGAGAGAGAGAAAGAGAGAGAGAGAGAGACAGCAATCACTTGAACAGGCCAAGGTATAGAATCAATGTGCGTTGTTCTTTAGTACTGTATCACAGAATCAGCTGAGGAGTCCCTATTCTCAAGGCGATTGGAGCTCTCGCATCCGCTTGGCTGCACTCAACTGCCAGGCAGCAACCTCACTCTGTGCCAGAGGACACGCGAGGCAAGGAATGACTTGAACAGACAAGAGCGCAGAGTTCGCGTGTTGCTATATATATATATATATATATATGCGTGTGTGCGTGTGTGCGTGTGCGTGTGCGCGTCTCTGTGTGCGTGTGTATGATTTCAGATTCAATCAGACCGCTTCTTTTTCCTTCTTGTTGGGCTCAATCGCAGCCTTTGCATTGCGAGCTTGATAAGAAGGGTCGTGAGAGCGAGATCAACTTCACGATTTGTCGACATGTTGAGAGCTGGAGGAACGTTTGACAAGCAAAATTTGGTTGTCCTGTCTCAGATGGTTTTGTCCAGAAGTTTCATGGGGAATCCCCCACAGGCAATCCTGACAACTGCGCCGCTTGCGATCAAGATCTGAGATGCGAGGTGGCCAAATCGCCGAGCACAGCTTGGAATGAGGAGTTCGAATTCCCAGTGCTTCCCGTCCGTAGCTTAGAGCTGGGCTACAGCCCCCACTCATGTATACACAAGCACAAACTGCTGCAGATGTTGGATTACTGTTGGACCTTCCGAGTATGGTGGAGCTTGAACATGAAATTTTCTTGCACATGCCGCACTATGTAGTCTTCTCTGACAGAGTGCATGGTTGGTTGGGTAGGGTCCACGCACAGTTTGCAGAGAACGGAAAAGGCCCGCAGATTTGATTGAGTGAGCCAGTTGCTTCAATTTGACTCTTCCGAAAACGTCTCAAGCCAGCTTGAGCAGGTTTCAGACAGGTTGCAAATACGTAGCATCAAGCAACATCTAAAACGCACAGGAAACCATGATTAATCAATCACACACACACACACCCAGCATGTAAAATAGTGGGCCTCTGCCAAGAGCGATGCCTGGCCCAAAGTCAGTTCCAACATGATTCGCATTGAAAATCCATGAACTAGAGGGTAAGCGTCATAGGTGTTTAGTTTGGTTAGAAATAGATGGCATCGCTTGAGATTGGTTTTATGCCATTTATCAGCGCCATCTAGTTTTCCAAAAGGACACCTATGGCAAGCGTGGGATGCCATGGGAGTTTGGGCAAATCGGCTGGCCGTTTTTCCCAAGGAGTCACCGGCTCCGGCCTCAGCCGGATGGAATACAGAGCTGTCCCGGAGCCAGTCCGACTGCACAAGAAGCATTCAACATATGAGTAGGGGTCAAAATTAAACCACCTCCTTGGTTCCATTTACCAGGGCAACCCATGTTGGGCACCTATTTTTGACCATATGTGGGCCATTCTGGTTTGAAAGTCCAAAATTAGATGATGATTCGTGAAAGGCTGATTGGAGAACAAAAGGGCTGCACAGTGAATGACAGGCGATGTTTGGGTATGTTGATGTTGGTATTGTTGAGCTTTGTGATATGTTTTTGGTATTCTCTGCTTGTTTGACAACAGTTGCTCAGTGCCATTCAGGAGGCTAGGAATAGAACAGCGGAAAGGCGTGACAGCAGCTTCCACGCACAGAGGTGCGAGCTCGGGTTGGCAACACGTGAAAGTATCAGCAGTTCCGCTGTGGTAGGATGTTGTTTGATAGGCTCGTGGCTTTTACACTCGAGCTGCGCCAGCGGGGTCGACCCCCTCCACGCGTTCGCGCGGTTCTTTCAGCAGATGCAGGAAGGACAGCCTGGCACGCAAGGATCCACCCTAGGCAAGCTCCCGGAAGAGGCGCCATGACGGAGCGGATTGAGCTAGGCATGGACAGATCCATGCCCCAGCTGGACATTGCTCAAGATTGAGTTTCTTGAACATGCTTTGCTGCCGCGAAAAGAAACTTCAGTGCCTGTGGCTCAGCCGTTGACTTTGCAAACGTTCTCAGATATGATCGTGTTTCCCGCTCAACCGCCAGTGCATGATGCGGGTTGTTCGACATAAAAATGCCTGAACACTTCCCTTTCGCAGGCCTTTCGCGGTCCTTTCACGGCCCTCATGTCCGTTAATCAATGACACACTACAGTCACTACAGCACCCTGTCCGGGGCGGCGACAATACAAATTACACGAAAACAGCTGCCACACAGCAGGAGTCGGACATGATGTATGGCGTGCCCAGCCTTCATTGAAGCACCTGGCGTGAGACTTCCTGCATTCGCCAGTGGTGGCGGAGGGTGTGTTCAAAGTTGGGTGTGGAAAGGGGCTGAGCTGGAACATGGAGTCCGCTTTGGCTTTGACGGTATTTTCAATAAAGTATTGGCATGGGATTGGGCGCGGGCACTGCATATTGGGATTTGTTTGCATACATGGCATTGACAACAAAGTACGTTTTTAAAGAAACAGACAAGCAAGCAAGCTCAACTCAATCCACACAACGCTGCCAAACAGTACAACCAAGCAAACACAGAGTTTGGGCACGGAATCGCAAACCATGAATGGCCTCCCCCCCCCCGCAAACAACCAAGGCCAACTCTCGTGCATGTGTGCGCCTCCTGGAGGCTGGCTGAAAAGCGGAGTGAGGCTGTCTTAAAAAACATTATACGGGTGTGCGACTTTTTAAGGTGCCCAAGGTTTAGTACAGGATGGAAGTTCGACCTTTGCCCCCTATTTAGGCACAGACCCATATATATATATATATGTATATATATATATATATATACACATAAAGCTTACCAATGGTAGAACGACAAAGGTCCCTTGGGGGTGCCACGAACATATCCGTTGAGTTGCAAAAAGAGCATCGTCCAGCAACACCTGAGCTACAATCAAAACCGATTCGGGTAGACGATAGTTAGTAGGTGATAGTCTCAACCATAAACGGTTCTGGGTGGACCATTCTAATACCAGGTTTTGATTATGACTCACCTGATGTTTTTTTGGGGACATGTCGATCGACCATGGCTCGCGTCAGATGGCAAGGGTTTGGTGTTGAGCGGGGGAGAGGTTGCAATATGTAGTGTCCACAGTCTGGTTCACGGGGAATAGGGTTGACCCACCAGAGCCGACCCACCTGCTCAAAAGGGGGTATGAGTAACCCAAAATTAGTGGGCTAGCACTAGTGGGTCAGGCCGACTCCCCGAGATAATATTCCAGGATTCTGTATGTCCAGTTGTAGGTGTCACCCCAAGTGCCATTTGTTGAACTGGAGCGTGTATATCGATGTGACATGTCCACAAGAAGCGGGCCTTGTTTGGTTTGGTCGTTTTTGTTCGCTGTTTCGTACACAGAATGTGGCAGAAGCTTGATCAAGCTCGAGACTCGTCCTGTTTTCTTAGCTTGCTTGCCGGGCTGTGGCAAAAGCACCCACGCGATACCGGGCCCGTCAGTCGGACAGTCCTGCCCCTCCAACAATCGTTGATCTAGCCATCTCTTTGGAGGGTGAGAAGCAGCCCTAAACGTGAACGAACATTTCAGACACCCTAACACCACCCTGAACCAGCCCCAATGAACCATTGAGCCACCTCAAAGCTACCCTAATTCCCTAGCCCAACCCCAAGGGAATGCTAAACCCACCCCACCTCAGCCCAATCCACCCAAAAGCCACCCAAGACCAAGCAAACAACATCAATCCAACACGCACGGCACAAACCGTTCACCAACCATGGAGCAAACAAACAACCGGCTGAACAATCCCTTCCCCCACAATCCCGCAGCCTAAAGCAACCCTGAATCGACCCTGACCCTCCTGGCGTGCGAATTCAACCCTAAACCGCTCCACCTTGAACCCGGTCTCAACCAGGGGCTTTTGGGAGAAAGGCATGCTGAACCGGACGTCAGACCAAAGGATAGTTCGCAGAGGGATCCTGATCGGTCTAGTAGATTCCACGGACTGCCGGCGGGGGGATGTACTCTCACTCTTAACACCTCATAAACCAAATTAATCTCACTGGACAGTAGAAATTCGACGGGATGATTGTCTGGCAATGCCTGACACGTGGGCACCTATTGCTACCTCTGTTCGAAAGGCCTGGCCAAGGCCGAAGCCAGAGCCCGACCCCATGATCGAACTGTCCAATCTGTTGAGTTGGCAACGTGTTCTTCTTGGTGGCGCGTTGGTTTCATAGGCCCCGGCTTCAGGGCAGTCAGGTCAGCTTCGCAACTCTAAAGCTTCCTCAGGCCTTGGGCCAGCCGGCGAAGGCGAAGGCATCCGGGCGCGTTAGAGAGGGAAGAAGGGAAACCACTCTTGGATGTCTGCTTGTACGCTGATTGCTCTTGCAATACTTTGCAGTGATTTGCGTGTTTGTTGCATGTGAATTCATGCTGGATCATGCTACTCAAGACTCCTGAACTCCAGTTGCTTGGAAGCGCTTTGGCTGAGCCATGGTCCCTAGCTGTTTTCCTTGAGAAAGAAAGCTGACATGACGCCTATCAGGCCCAGAGACATCCAACTGGCATCGATAGCGCCATGAGAGATTTTTGGCACCTGCTTTTTGCGGTCTGAAGAGAGGCAGCTTCGTTCGACTGCCTGGCTGAGCACTTGCCCCCGCTACTCGGCAGCGGAAGACGGGTCAATGCTTATCAGGGGGGTTCTTTGCCTGGTTCGAGTGCAGCAGTCCAATGAGTGTTGCTTGAGGGCAGCAGTGGTTTTATTCGCTGTGTGCCAGACATGTTTGCCATGAGCTGGGATTCGTCCCTTTCGAAGCAGAAGTCAGCTCGCAGCATTCAATGCCGGTGTTAACGCCTTCCCTTTTTTTGGATGTATGTTTGCTGACACCTTTGAGAATCCCATAGACATTGTTTGTTGCATTGCTGGTGTGTTGTGGATCAAGATATATATATATACATACATATGCATTATTGCATCTCATCCACGCCACACCCACACACACACACAGTGCCACACTGTTGCGTTTTGTGTGGTGTGTGAATATATATATATATATGTATATATATATATATATATATATATGTGTTTTTGTGTGTTTTTGTGTGTTTTTTTTTTTTTTTGTGTGTGTGTGTGTGTGTGTGCGTGTTTGTGTGTTTGTGTGTTTGTGTGTGTTTGTGTGTGTGTGTTTGCGTGTTTGTGTGTTTGTGTGTTTGTGTGTTTGTGTGTGTGTGTGTGTGTGTGTGTGTGTGTGTGTGTGTGTGTGTGTGTGTGTGTGTGTGTGTGTGTTTGTGTGTGTGTGTGTGTGTGTGTGTTTGTGTGTTTGTGTGTTTGTGTGTTTGTGTGTTTGTGTGTTTGTGTGTTTGTGTGTCTGTGTGTTTGTGTGTTTGTGTGTTTGTGTGTTTGTGTGTTTGTGTGTGTGCGTTTGTGTCGCTGTGTCTCCCTGTCACTCTCGCTCCCTGTGCGTGTGTGTGTGTGCGCGTGCGTGTGTGTTTGTGTGTTTGTGTGTTTGTGTGTTTGTGTGTGTCGCTGTGTCTCTCTTTGCCCTTTTTCTGCCCGCCGTTTTGGCACCACTGCTTGCGGCACCACTCCCAACGCAGCAGTGGGTGCGCCTAGCGTTTGCTCTGTTTTGCGAATTCTTGTCGTAGATTGCCTGACCGTGTGTGTCTGAAACTTGGTTTTTATCACACCACCCCTTACGTTGATACTTGTCCTACCTGCTCACTCAGCCCCCGAACCTTAGCTAGCAGCGGGGAGCTTTGCGCGGTTTACATGCTTTGCGTGGTGGCAGACCGTCCACGGCACCAAGGCTTGCACTCGCACCAGACGATGCAAAGAAGGCTCGAAGAGGGAGAGAGAGAGAGAGAGAGAGAGTAGGGGTTTAGAAGTGCTTTGGCAGTTCGGGTGAAAGGTATTGGATGCTATATTGTTTGAAGATGCTTGCAAGTCTGGCAAGCAATGCAGAGGCAGAAACAGACTCCTGATTGTGTGTGTGATCAAATTCAGTCTTGGATATCGGCTGTGAAAGAAATCATTTAATAGACATCCGCCTGACCGCAATCGTGTCCTCTTTAGAACATGTTGACAAGCTCAAGATGTTAGCCAATTTCCCAGGGCTTAGCTTTGCCCAGTCAATGAATCAGTCAACAAACCGGCAGCAAAATTCATGCAATGACGGCAAACCTGCTCACCTTTGCAACGCAAGTCGAATCACAGGGGGCAGCCAGGAGGGGTGAAGGAGTCATCAAGACCATCAAGGTTCCCACTTGCAAATCCCAGCCTTAACTTTTCCGGCCCATCAGTTTGGGGAACATTGGCATCTCTCCTTTTGGAAGGGATCCAACATCTCGAAAGAGCAAGCCATGAAACCGGGATGGCGCCTTGGCTGAACAAACTCGCCCTTTGTCCAAGCTCGCAAGATATCTTTGGCTGCCTTCTTGCTTTTCTTAAAACACCAAAAACACATTGACATAAAACACGAGCAGAGTGAGTTTAAGGTGGGTTGGGCCGGGTTAAGGTTGGGGTAGGATGGGCTTAAAGTGGGTTTAGGCTGGTTTAGGGCTGGTTTAGGATGAACTTAGGGTGGGGTTGCGTGGGCTTAAGGCGGGTGTAAGCTTTGGGGGGTTCAGGGTTGGGGGGCCGTTTAGGGGAGTGGGGTTGGCGTCGTTTTAAACACTTTGAGTGGGTTAAGTTTAGGGTTGGTTTAGAGTGGTGTGGGGTGGGTTTAGTAGGGTGGAATCAGGGTGGGTTTAAAGTGGGTCTTTAAGGTGGGTTTAGGATGCTTTTAGGATGGGTTAGGGTGGGCTTAAGGTAAGTTTATGGTGGCTTTGCGGGGGGTTATTGGGTGGGTTTGGGGGGGGGGGGGAGGGCGTTTGCGTGCCTGCTGGCTGGCTGGCTGGCTGGCTTGCTCTGCTCTGCTCTGCTGTGCTTTGCTTTGCTTTGCTTTGCTTTGATTGCTTGCAGTTGTCGCAGCTTTTCCTCTGTACTTGGTCAAGACGTACACTTGGAGGTTTTCCTACACCCATTGGATGGAGTTTGCTGCTCCACAGCAATCCAACCCTTCTCTCCCATTTGGGCCATCCAAATGGTTGGTTTCAAATTGGTCGCCAGAAAGAGGGCTCGCCATGGGGTCGTGTTCCGATACTTTGCATTCCTGAAAGCCAACGACATGTTTTCACAGACATGGCGCATATCCCCCCCCCAGCAAGAGCCATTGCCCCCCCAAACAGCGGAATGAGCCAAGGCCAAAAACCAGGAATTGGACCGCAGGAATTGAGTCTTTGGTTCCATTTATCAGGGCGATTGCCATGGGGTCACCAACTATTTTTCACCTGCCAAATCAAACTTCAAGCCGTTCAGCCCCAAACAGGTCCGGTCCTTGGGGTCTCCGGCCAGGATGTGCGTGGGGCCTGCCTGGGGCAACTGGCCTTCACCCAGCGCCTGCGCACAGGCGCACGTGTGGGAGTCTGATGTTATGTTGGAGCTGTTTTGTTCTTTGTTCTGCTTCATGTCTATTTTGCTTCATGACTTGTTTGTTTTGTTTTGCTTTGTTTTCTTTTGGTTTGGTTTGTTTCTTCCTTTTTCAGCTTCCCTCTTGGTGGTTTGGATTCGCGGTGTGGTGTTCAAGGAGTGGTTTCCCATTATTTCCCATTAATCCTCTACAAGATCCAGGGGTTCAAATCCCCAAACCACCAATCCAAACCACCAATACAAACCACCATTGGAGGGATGCTGACTTTTGATGTTTGTTTGTTCTTTGGCAGCAAGCCCTAGGCCCTAGGCTGTCGTGCTTCTTTTGGTTTTGTCTTGGCATCCCTTTGACTAATTTCATCACCCTTCGGGAGCCTTCACTCCTGTGCTGGAGACCATGACTAAAACATCGGCTTGGGGATCTTTTGGGTAGCAAGCCTTGGAATCGAGTGAACAACGTGTGCTTTGGCATCCGAAATGTAGAGCTAAGTCATGAAGGTGCTCTTTGATTTGCATCATTGAACCGGTGCTTCTGTCGCGAGGCTGGTATGAGTCCCGAAGCGGCTTCGAGTGAGAAGCCGAGAAGCCGACATGAAGGGCTGGGCTGGCCCAGAGGCAAGCTGTAGCCCATGCACGAAGCAAAAATAAGTGCTACGGCGCGCCAGGCGTTTGAAGCCTTAACATTGTCCCATTAAAGTTAAATGGGTCGAAATGAAAAACCAGCGCCTTTTCGTTAGGTGCTGAGGACAAGAACGATACCCCCAGAAGCTATTGGCTCGAATAGTCTTGGGTTCTTGTGAGTTGCGCCCTGTGTTATTGGAAGCTATGATAAAGCTTGCAATTGTTCCTAGGCCAAGGTTCCGGAGTGGGAAGCTTACAGAACATGAACCGATACTCAAACCGATACGTAATTGATAGCTCATGCTTGCCAAATCCAACCAGTAGCATGCCGTGCCTGTGGTTTGCCTTCACACCAACTCCTTGAGCTCCTCTTCCTGATGACCGATCCTGCTTTTCACACACACACACACACACGCAAAGCAACACGTCTGTGCGCCGCCTGCCGCCGTTCTTTTTCTTCTTTCTTTCTTTTTTTTCCTTTTTTTTTTCTTTTTTTATTTTCTTCTTTCTATGCGGGTTGTGTGGCCGTGCCAACGACTTAGAGCGGACTGAACTACTCATAGCTCCGATCACATTGTAAACCCATGAGGAAAGACGCGATACTGACCGATACTAGGGCTTACAAGCAGAACGTGACAAAGGTTGAGGTCGCAACCGCACAAAGTATGAGAGCTGTTTGTGAGTAGGCCAACCACTATTTTGCTGGATGTATTGGTTCATGTAATCAGCCTTTGACCAAAGCGCCCTTCATGAGTCATGGTATCTGGTGACGAGACGGCTTGTATGTGGGAGGCGTCTAGACTAAGCCAAGGCAGGCCCTGCAACAGGGGCTTCATTTGAACAAGTTTCACCTACTGGTGGATGGTAGGCTCGACCTCCACTGGGTTCCATTTCTGACATTTCCCGATGCTGAAACAACTGACTGCCCAGAGGAGCTTCGCATGGCTTCGCAATGCTCCGAGGGATTGTTTCCAGCTGCAAATCCCTTTGGGCGAGGGAAGGCAAAGGTGAGTCACAATCAAGACCCTGGTGATTGGAGGGTACAGACCATGTTACTACCAGGTTTTGATTGTGACTCAGGTGGTTAGCCTAGGCTCGCGCAACCTATTCGTGCGGATGACCGAAGGCACGTGCCAGGCCCCGCCTTGGCTCCAGCTTGCCTTTAGCGCGGGGCGCTGCGGATCGCCATGCTGGCCGGGGACTCGTTTTTTGTTCTTTTTTTTTCCGATTTATTATTATTATTATTATTATTATTATTATTATTATTATTATTATTGCTATTATTATTATTATTATTGTTTTTTTGGGGGATGCCCGGTATTTTGGTTTTGCGGGAGGCCGCTTTCGCTGAAAAAGGCAACCCAAACCCAAAACGCTTCGCGACGTTTTTCTTGCGCGAGGCGACTGGGGGGTTCGACCAGCCACCATTTCTTTTGTGACTTAGGGCGCTTCGTTTTATGGCATGCAGCCAGGCTGGGAGTGAGGACGTTTGGGACAGCTGGGCATGAGTGCATTGAAAGTGAGAGGTCCTGAGTTTGCCTCTAGCCCAAAAGGAGCACCGAACAAATCCTTAGTCTGGTCCAACCAATTGACTCAGGAATGGAATGCTGCCCTTGCCGGGACTTTGCTAACCAAGTGGCTTTCATGAAGTCCAGCATATCGCATTTTTAACGGGGCATTGCTTGGAGTCCCCCCCCCCAAGACATGTCAATGTGATGGGGGAGTTGCCTTCCCCTCGAACCGCCAAGACAGGCACAACTACCACGGCTCAAGGATCGTTTGACGCGCCAGGCGGCCTGTCTGCAGATGCGTGCGCTTCCCAGGAGACCAAGGATTCGCTTGCGGCAAACGGACGTCCAAAAATGGCTGGCGGACATAAAACCCCACTTAAATGATGTCCAAAAAAGGGTCCGGGACCCATTCAATTTCGTACGTCGCGTTTTGTCCATCCGTCACCCTTCATCCAGTCACGCCTGCTGTATTGCTGATAACCCACTCCGGCCGTTGAAAAGCCCAGCCCATGACTAGTGCTAAAAATGCCACAATGCAGCGCAGGCTCACACACTTGATGAACTAGGCATCACTGCGTGACCTCAAGGTAGGCTGCCGTGATCGCCTCCCAATCCACCATTGCTGCACCTCTGCCCTTGAGCACTGCTTCATTTTGGCCCCATGTTCCGCCCCGGTATCTGTGCAACACCTCCGGTCAAGCCCCCATTACCGCATCGGCACCACACACCTCTCCCAATTTCGGGCATGTACCTCTCGTGTTGATCCAAGCCACCCATACCACCTAGTAGGGAGCTCGTGGCTCGTCCAAAGTCTGATTTGGGCATCGAAACATGATGCAAAAGGGCGCACCATCCATCAACGGTAAGGGGCCGTCCTGCTGAGATCCAAGCAGCGAGGGAACTGGACAAGCATCGCTTTCTGATCAACCGCTGAAGTTTGAAAGAATTCATGACCTTTGCCCAATGATCCCACTGGCGGGCGGTCGTCTCTACGAGGACAGTTTGTTGTTGCCGCCACATTGGTTTTCTTGACTCTGCAAGAACAACACTTGACTGTTCTATTGTGACATGTCAGGGGCAAAGCTCAAAGCAGGCTGTCAAAGGCGAAGATTGGCAAGCACCCCCGACACACCTCTCCAAGTGCGCTGCAGATTGCCAAGGTACGTCGACAAGAGCTTGAGGCCCTTGGATGCTGAGCACTACTCAGCGGCAGGCCTTGTACCGTGCGCCAGTCAGTCGGCACAACTGGCTCGAGCATGGGACATAATCAAAGTGGAGAATAGTTGGGCCACTAAAAACCTGCCCAGCTTCAAAATGACCTCACATATGAGAATGGTTCTCATTTGAGGTCAGCAAACAACAAGTAATCTCTCACCCCCATATTATCGAGACCCGAAGATCTGTTTGAACCACACTACCGAGGGTTGGATGCATGATGCGGCGAGATGGCGATGATGTTGTCAATGTTGTCCTTCCATAGTGAGCCAGGCTTGCCTGTTCAATGGTAGACCTTCAGTAACTGCCCAACCCTTTTTTTCCACTAAAATTCTGAGCCTTAGCTACACTAATTACTGCCTGTTTTTCCGTGCAGAATTTGATTCAGCAACCCATTATTTGCGTTTGTGTGCATCGCGCGGTTGGCCCGCCAGTTGTCGACTATGTAGAGCTTGGGCGACTTGCCAACACTTTCCAAACGTCCAACTGAAATGGCACCGGCCAGTGAAAGGATAGTGACCATACTGTGGATGGACGAAATTCTGCACCACCTAAGAAACCCTGGAATGAATGATTCCCCTGTAAATACCAACAAACAATGGCTTCCCATGGTTTCAAAGGGGTGCAGGATTTCGTCCATCCACAGTAGGTGTCCTTTTTAGGTTAGTTGGGTGAAAAATAGCTGGCACTGGTTTGGATGTGTTTTGTTCCATTTACCAAGACACTATTGTTTCCCACCTATGATAGCGACACTGCGATCACCCAAGCTGCTTCCGGCGTCCCAACGACTCTGGCGCAGGTACCGCAAGAGACCCGAGGGAGGTTTTGAGCTCCTCCTGGCTCGTCCTTGCCCCGAGGGGGGGGGGGCAGGCTCCAGTCAGACCGACATATGTACGCCGAGTTTGCAAACATTGAGCAGTATTCAAGACCTCGAGCGGAAGGAACACTTATAGATCAACATGCTCATGGGAGTTGATCAAAAGGTCCGTGTAAGTACTTAAACTGCGGAGGACCATAGCGCTGTAGGCGTTTACGCCCGCGAAAGATCCGAGAAGGAGACAACTATGATTTTAATCTCGCGCAAGACTTAGCGCATGCTTGTACGCTTATGTATTTGCAGACTTGAAATGCGCGGCACCTTGACTGCGAACTTGATTCCCTGCTTGTGCTGGTAATAAGTTACATTCGTGTTACCCAGCTGTCTAATTAGAAGGAATAGCTGTTTTGGATGAAGGTAAAAACAAGGAGTGGCAGGGAGGAGGCGGCTGCGGCCGCCAGCGGCAGCAGGGCAGCGATGCCATCAGGCGTGGCGTGCTCGCCTGCTGTCGGCCGGCTGCAAGAGGTGGGTTGGACCCTGTTTTGCAACTATTGTGTTCAGTTTCTTTGTTTTTGGAATCTAGTTCGGCCCAGAGGTGAAGTCAGGGGTTCAGAATGGTTCAGATACAGGGCCCGTCCACAATTGCAAGAAGTACAAAAGTGTTCGTGTTCTCAGTATGGCTCAAAGCAGCGGAGCTTTTTTCTCAAGCAAAGCCGAGACATCATGAGCTCTGAAGCATCTTGAATCCATTTGCAGCCCAGGCAGCCTTTGCATCACGAGCTCAAACACATTCAAATTCAGCCACTGTATGAAACCTTGGCTGGCTATTTTTTAGGAGCAAGTCTCGCGAAAGATCCACAAAAGACCGGCGAAAGGCACTGTTGCAAGGCGCGAAGGGCGAATGATAGTGGCTGCTTTCGTTTCACGCTGCAAGCCTGCCAGCGCAAGTGAACGGAATGGTTACTCGGTTCGCAAGCGCGACTGCAGCGGCAACATTTGCTCCAGGGCGCACGCTGGAAACAAGCGTGGTGATGGAGTCGGGCAGGTTCGAGAAATATAGTTTTTCTCGCGAAGAATGGAGTCTTCCGGAAGCAAGGTTTTTGATTGGCCGTATACATATATATATATACACACGGCAGTGATTGTTTGGAGAAGTCTGGAACAGAGCCGTGGCGGACATTCGTTACATACCCCGTTACATACCTATGCAACAAGGACTCATGAACACACCTCACATGAACAGAACCGCCTGGCTGGCTGCATCTCCGTGATTTCCCCTTACTGCAGAGCAGACTTTTGCAGAGCATGCTTTCGCTGAAGGGTCGAAAGTCCGAACAAGTAGCAGCGAGGCCACGATAGACCCCCAGCTTGACCCACGACCCCCTTTTTGGCGCCGCTTGGCTTGTGTTGAATAGTTGCAAGCTTGAACCTGGCTCTGCGCCTGTACTTAATAGTTGTGACTTTCGAGCTGGAATTG